TCCAGCTGTGGGTTTAAAGTCGGTCGGTTCATAAATGAATCTGTTGAAATGTTCGAGGCTGTGAATAAAGAGCTGCTTGTGTTTCAGTACATGGTGAGCTGTGACAAGATCCCATCTCTGCCCGTCATCACCTTTAACCTGGGAGGACAGAGCTACAGTCTGACCGGAGACCAGTACGTCCTCAAGGTGAGACGCTCGTCTGTTATGATCCAGCAGGGGGCGACACAGAGTCAGCTCCTGCAGAAACAATACATCACTGACTGTTGTCGTTAAAAAAGACAAATGAGTCTTTGTTTCACTTGGTGAAGACGAGCGGGGGAGGGGTGTTGATCCATGTTTGTTTTTCTCACTGCTTCAGACTCTGATCTCTGTCAAACGATTTATTCTTCATCTGGTTATTTCCCAGTTTTTCTCTCCTCTAGTGTGACATGAAGGTTTTTTGTGGATAGAAAAGTTCAAACTCTGGTAGAAGGAGTTCTCTCCTGCTCAGGAAACACTGAAGCTCCTGAAACTGTCGTCTGGCTCATGCGTGATCGTGAAGTCACGTCTGTGAATGACCTGAATATTTTACAAACATGATTCTTCGGCAGACGTTTCATTACAGCAGCGTCGTCTCTGTGTGTTTTTCCCGCAGGTGTCTCAGGCTGGAAAGGTCATTTGTCTGAGCGGCTTCATGGGTCTGGACATCCCCGCCCCCGCCGGGCCCCTGTGGATTCTGGGAGATGTATTCATCGGCCAGTACTACACTGTGTTCGACAGAGAGAACAACAGGGTGGGCTTTGCCAAGTCCAAGTAGGCGAGACGACGTGTTCAAGAACAACACTAATAATCTGAAAGAAATATTTGAGCTGCACAAGTTTTCCGTTGCTTTGCAATCAAACCGTCTTTAGCAATAGATTTTGTGTAGCGTCTAAATGCACTGATTTCCAGCGGCGTGTGAAACAGAGGTGATGGTTGTGTGATGATGTGTCCGATCAGGGATCAGCTGATTGTATCGGTACTGCTCCATATATTGATCCCTTTTTCTTTTCTCTTTTAAATCAGGGATTTGTTTTTAAAACTTTTAATTTGGATTTTAGGAGGAAGTTATCGACTACTGAGTTTGTGATGTATCAGAATGTGATTGGCTTCAATAAACACTTTTTAAAACATCAGAAAATCCTAAAGCAGCAGAGATTTGAACTGGTTTGTAGATGCTCTTAAAAAAGCCTAAAAGTAGTTTGACCCTTCATTCATTCATTCATTCATTCATCGTTGCATTTACACAGAACCGTCTGTTTCCGCCCACAAACTGTAAAGATGGTCTCTAAGAGTGTACTTTAGATATTGTTTGTTATTTCTAGTTTGGTCCATGTCCCATCTGCTAACATGGAGTGGTTTATGACCTATACTGCAGGCAGCCACCAGGGGGCGATCCAGATGATGTGGCTTTATTTTTGGGAGCTGTCATGTCATCTGTCTATATTTAGTCGGTTTCCAGTCACGGACGAGTGACGCTAACGTCGTGTATCTTCGTATATTTCCAGGAGTAACATGAATATTTTCTCACAACAAAGTGTTTTATTGAAAGTATCAGATTTTCCTTCAGGTGATTTGTGTGAATCAGTCAAAGTTGATCTACAGACAAACCCTTCAAACTTTTATTATTCCCCTCACACGCCCGACATCACTTCAGTGTACAAAACGTCAACTATAGATTTATTTATTAACCATAGAAGAAGTTATTTAACAATAAAATACAGTCAACAGAAAAAAGTCCCTTCAGCTGTTTAGTATTAGATAAAGTTTCTCTTCACATGTTTCACCATAAAGTCCAGATCACTTCAGGCTGAGTTTAGTAAAGCTCAACTTCACTGAAACCGAACTCACCTGAAATGTTGGAAACGCTCTAACAGCTAAACTAACTAATAAAGAATCATTTCATCGTTTATCCCCAAGTTATTAAAGTTTCCTGACGGGCAGCAACAGAAACAACGACCCATCAATTAAGACCCAAGTTTCCCTTTACAGCAACATCACAGCTGCTTTCAGACCTGAGCTCCAGATGTTCTGAAACCTTCTCTGATGATGAAGGCCGACGCCCATGTGGACGAGCTGTAAATAACAACACTGATTTAATACGTCATGTCCCGCCTCCTGCTGCTCTACAGGCTCCACCCCTCCCCTGAATGTCCCCCACGTTTTCCTGTTGTTGTGAACGAGTCGACAATCTGCTACACAACATGACTACACAACATGACTACACAACATGACTACACAACACGTCTACACAACATGTCTACACAACATGACTACACAACATGACTACACAACACGTCTACACAACATGACTACACAACATGACTACACAACATGACTACACAACATGTCTACACAACATTTCCTGGAGACTGAAATCAGATTTTAATGAAGCTGCTGCTTTAAGGTTTAAAGTCGTGTAATGTTGCTTTAAGGGTCAGGATCTGAAACCGGAACATTTCACTTCACACACACATTTGACCGACACAATAA